GTTATATATATATATATATATATATATATATATATATATATATATATATATACATTATATATATATTTATATATATAAAATGTATGTTATATATATATATGTATGTATGCATATATATTTATATATATATATTAATTTATAACATAAATAGATTAAAATATATGAATTTGGCTTGTGTGTAATTATTACACATGTAAACGTCTTTTCTAACTTTTTCTTCTTTTCTATCTCTTTCTGCTCTTATTTTTTGTAATCTTCCTTCTTTTTCTTGTTTTCTACATTTATTTACATTATTAACCTTTAGACTAATGTCCTCATTTTTGTTTTTATTCTCATGTTTTGGCCCTTGTGTCCTCCACTTTTCTTCAGGTGTTTGTCAATTTTGGTAACTTTCAAGGAATTTCAAACGGCACCCTTTATTTAATGTAAACAAATAGATGGTTTGTGTGCTTCACTGTTCATGTCTAGGGTTATCTTGTTTTTGTTCTTTTTCTAGTATTGTTCAATTATTCTTCACTCTCAATTACCATTGAATCTGAGGCCGTACATCCCAACCCAGGCATTGAACTGACAGTAACTATTCCTCCATTTTCATAAACCAATATTGTACTAGGCTATTTTACTGTAGGTAAAAATAAAGGGTTCAGTTCAAAATTCTCTTAAAGATTATCCAAATAAACTCACCTGAAGAAGGCCAGAGAGAACAATGGTGGAAATGGTGTGGTAATGACAACAAAGATGAGGATATTAGTTCCAATGTAAATCATGAGAACTGCTCACTCTAGAAATTCAGACAGAAGTTTTTTTGTCTTTACTTTTTTTTTTCCATTTCTATATTTTATAATTTTTTTTTATTTTTTTTTTTGCCCCCTCTTACCATCATAACTCTTTCAATTTTTTAATTCTTTTTCATTATATGCTTCTTCTGCTTCTTTTTTTATTATTACTTCTCTAAGGTGTCAATGTAAACTTCTAGTTGTTGGGAGACTGACTATATCAATGTTTCAACAGAAGATTACTGTAACTAATAGAAAGACTGTATGAAAAAAACATTTCTTTATTTATTTCTTCTCAAAAAGACAGATAAATACAAAAAAAAGGAAACAAAAAATATTATTTTTTTGTCAGAGAGGGAAGCTTACAGTTTAGAGTAAAGTGTAAGATGTACAAATTCTACCCCTATCAAAAACACACACTCAAAAGAGCAAATGACTCACCGAATTTATTTTATATGAAAATGCAGCAGACTTGCTTGCATTTTATCTTAATGAACATTCAGGTATCTTTCAGGAAATTCTTATTGAAAGGTTTTGGATGTATAATCTATAAAACTGTAAGCAAGCAAGAATCAACTTTCAAAAAAAAAAAAGTTTTCACATTTACTTTCTCTTTTCTTCTCTCTCTTTTCAAAATTAGTCTTTAAAACAAGGAATGAATGATGATGACTTCCTGTTGTCTGTCAGCACAAAGAGCTTCCTTGGTGACTTCTCTCCAAATCATTTTCACTCTTCACTGACTGATGACAAGGTGTAGAAGCAAATAACAGCTGATCATGACAACACTTTTTCTTTCATCTTTGTTTCTTTTTCTTCTTTCAATTATCTCTCTCATTCTCCCACCCATTTTTCAAATTTATTATTTTCTGTTTCTTCTTTATACTTAGCTTTTTTCCTTATTTTTTTCATTTTTTTTATTTTTAATTTTCTCTCTATTTTAATATTTTTTTGTTTACTCTTCACCCTCATTTTTTTGTTTTCTCTTCTCTTTCTCTTTTTAATGTTTATTTTTTTTTAACTCTTCTTTCTTTTTTTACTTCTCTTTCCTTTTTAACTCCTCTTCTCTTTCTTTTTACCACTTACCTATTTCTTTTCTATTGTTTTTTTTTTCTTTTTTGCTGTTATCTTTCTAGTTTTTACTCTTAACTCCTTTTTTATTCTTCTGCACATCTCTTTGTTTTCTTCTGTTTCTTTTCTTTCTTTTTTCTGATTCTATTACCTTTTTACTCTTATTTACTCTTTTTCTTCCGTTTATCATCTCTTTATTTGTCTCTCCTCTTTTTTCACTCTCCTCTTCTTTCTCCTTTATTACACTTCTGTCCTCTTTTACTTTTTCTTTTTTTACTCTTAAATTCCTTTTAACTTTTAATTTATTTCTTTTTGCTATTTTCTTTCTTTTTCCATTAATCATTTTTTTTTTTTTACTCTTTTGTTTTTTTACTCATAACATCTCATTTTTGTACGTGTATCTTCTCTCTCTTTTTCTTATCTTTTTTTTCTTTTTTCTGCTTCTCTTTTTCTTATGCTTTTTCTCTTTCTTTTTCTGCTTATTCTTTTTCTTCCCTAACCTTCTCTTCTATATTTTCCAAACATTTTTCTCTTGTTCTCTTCCTGTTTACCTTGTTTTCATCACTCAGTTTCTTTCATTCTTTATCACTTTTTTTCCAGTTCCCCTTCTTTCTATATTCTTTCTAGTTTTTTTTTCTTCTTCTTCTTCTCTTTAAATTTTCATCTTTAATCCTCCTAAACATCTTATTTTCACATTCTCTTTAGCAACAACCTGACTTCCCTATCCATGCAGCACCTTCAAAAACCACTAATTGATTTTTGAAGAATTCATACTAATAGAACTAGTGCATTCATTCCACAGAAGCTTAGAAATAACACCAATACCTCAGACAGAACAGCACAGCTGCAGGAAAAGAAATTCCATAACATGCAGCTCAGTGATTGGTTGGAATGGAGAGGGGAATAACTCCTGCTGGTTTTGAATTAAGATGCGTCTGTCTGACGCAATTTTGCAGCGGGACACCAAGCAAGATTTCGGTGAACACATTGACAAATCCTCATTCCTGTTGTCGGATATTCTTGAGAATTTATCTGAGTTGATGATATCACTTCAGAATTGGAAAGAAGCAGATGGAGCTGAATTAAGCCTTAAAGATATTTCAGTGATCTGAGTCTCTCTATGCTACAGATGTTTGTTTTTCCTCATCTAGAATTAAAGAAATGAAAAACATCTCTATTTTTTGCTCTCTCTTTCTCTCTCTAATACCACTTCTTTCTCATTCTCACTTTTTCTTTTCTTCTTTCTGACTTTTTTCTTTCTAATTTTCTTCTTAATTTTTCTCTTTTATTATTTCCTTTATTTTCCTTTTACTTCTTTCACTTATTCAATCTTGTCTTTCTATTACCATTCCTTCAATTTTCTCTCTTATTTTTCTACAACTCTTATATTTTGTCACTTAAGAATTAATTTTGTTTGGTCTATCAGTCATTGTACAGTTATTTGTATAGCCATTTAATACTCTATATTTATATATAGTCACATCATTGAAAGACCACAAAAATGTGTCAAATATCAATTGTCCTGTAATTCATTAAAAAATAGCAAGTGAATATCAATCAGTATTGACAAGAGAAAACTATAATAGCATATTAAAGTTTTGGAATGTTAAATTATTGGGTTGGACAAAAGGTTTGTTCAATTAAGTAGAAAATTTACTTAATAAATTGAACAAACTTTTTTGCCAACCCAATAGTTGTAACATATAATGAAATAAAGGAAAGAAAAAGAAGATAATTTAGTATTTTTCACTCTCTTAAATTTGCAAGTAAAAAAAAAAGCTGGAAAAAAGTTTCTCCATATTGAATAAGCACTTATATACCATCAATAAATTTCACAAAATCTTTCATTTAAATATAGTGAAAATAGGTTACAATTGTATGCCTAATATGGAGTAGATTTTTAAAGGGCATAATGAAAAGGCTTCAAATAGTAAACTGTAACAAAAAAGGAAAATTCTTGCTCAGTGGGCATTGCTTCACTATTAATATCATCTATAGGGCAGAGGTTAAATTTATAGGCATCCTCACTATGACATATTTTGGTTCCACAAAATGCTACTTAAAGCATCTCTACTCCAATCACAAAACATCCATGAGTCTGAGCATGTATTGTAACAGTAGCACTCTGTTAAAATACATTTGGGAGATTAAAGAAAATAAAAAATTTTAACCCAGATATAAAGTGGAGTATAGTAAAGAAAAGTATAAGTTACCTTGAAGGAAGAAAAATTTGCAGATTTTATCAGGAGGAAAAGCTTGCAATATGCTCTCAAATACTTTCCAGGTATTAAATAAAGGTTTAAAATCATCTCAAGATGTATATACACTAAAAAATTATTTAAATTGCTAACATGCCATTCAACTCACACATCCAGGTCACTTAAAGACTTTTCCAGGATTTTTCATGCATTGTTAAACTATATATCATTGTATCACTATGAGATTGGAGAATGGATTATCTGAAGGAATCAAAAAACTCAATGATTTTGATAGTCTGAAAAAGTCTTGGAATGAAAATTTCTTCACATAATGATAAGAAAGTATGGTATATGAGACTAGCCAGTTAACTAACCATAGTACCATAGCAAGCCATATTACTTTCTTTGTCATAATTTTCAAGAAAAATGAGACCTCTCTTATTCCTTATGGCTTGTATGCCTGAAGATTACTGTAGAATAAATAGACCAAAATACAGTGGTAGCAACAAAAGCAACATTAAAATGAGAATGACTTCTTTCAAATTTATAGACGGTGCCAAAATATTTGGCACAAGGCAAAAAAAAGTGAAATTTAACAGAAAGGAAAATGGAATTACCTTTAAAAGCGAGAGTGAAATGTTTAACATTTAAAAAATCCATTGCGAAAACCTGGAAGTTTATCAATAGAGCAAACATAAATACTAAAATAATAACAGAAAATTATCCTTGAAAGATGTCAGATGTTGTTATGGTGTCAGACAGAATGCTGGTGGCTTGTAAAAGAAAAAAAGCAGTGAAATTTTTCTTTTGATATCTGTAACTGAAGTAGGGAATTTTTTTAAAATTAAGAAAAAGAAAGTAAATTAAGTTTTTGGAAGTTTTTTTTTTTTTTTTATTGTTGCTTGAAGTATTATTTATAATTTAAAATCATTTTTTTAATTTTTTTTGTACTTAGATTGATTCATTTTTCAAATATTTGTAGAGTTTTTTTTCTTTTACTTCTCCACCTGAATGGTAATAAATCTAACAGAATAAATTTAGCATCAAGAAAAAAACCCTTTAACATTATCCCACTATATACACGTATATGCCCAGACATTTAATATATTTTTAAATATTTCTATTCTGAATACCTTTGTAAAAATACATTTTTGTTGTTTGTCTTTTTAAATAAAATTTAATATCTTCTGTTATAGTAAAAAAATGATCTTAATTAATAAAACAAGAACTATGTATATATATATATATATATATATATATATATATAAAACTTCATCTAAGTGTAAAAGATTTTATCCAAACTTCATAAAAACAGAAAGCAACAGATGGTTTATTCTAGTGAAACTTCTATTTCACCCATTCAAAATAAAAGACCTACGTTTTGTCAAAACCATTTTGTAATTCTAAAATAATAAAAGTTTCAGCATAGATAATTTAATTCTCAGAATGACAACATGTCACTGGCGCCAAGCAGCCATTTGTAGCAGTGCACATCTGAATATATTCCAGCTTTTGCTTTTTGAGACATAGACCAAATGAGTCATTTGCTGCTGAACAGTAGAGGAAGCTCTACATGTTCCTGTTATACTATTGGCAGAAAATGAGTGAAAAGTATCTGGAGCAGTTTTTCTTTGTTTTGTGGCATATCAACCTCAATGGGTTATTTAATGCCGAAAAATTTTTATTGCTGGAAAAATTTTGTTTTGTCAAAAATCTATTTCTGATAATATTTTTCCTTCAAAAATGTATTGCTGGTAATATTTTTTCCCCAAGAATGTATAGTTGGTAATATTTTTTCTTCAAAAACATTGTTGGTAATATTTTTTTTCCTTCAAAAATTTATTGCTGGTAATAATTTTTTTACAGAGTATTTCTGGTATTAAAACCTATTTTTGCACTTTCATAGTGTTTTGATTCTAGTTTTGGGGTTAACTACTTGCCCATAGCTGGGACCCTAACAGGTGCTACCACCCCAGGTCAGAGTGGACCTGGGAACACCAGCAATTAAGAGGTGGTTCCACACTCAAAACCTCCTGATCAAAGGCCTTGCTGTTGCATATAGTTTATCGTCATACCCAGGACGGATCTGGAGCAATAGATTAGCATCAATTTTGCATGATGTTTGGTAAAAAGTGCTAGTAAAATGTTTTCCCTATTGAAAATAACTTATGGTGAGCACCCTCGGAAAAAATGTATATTTATGAGTAACTCAGGGAGTTCACATAAGGAAATGTGAGAAAGTGTGCACAATGATGCAAAAATCGGACAGCCAAAAATACAAAGATCATATGCCAATGTAAATAGAGTGCAAACATTGATGTATACAGTAGATTAAGCATATGATTGATAGCAGAAGAACTGAAGGTGAACAAGGAAACAGCACAGCCAATTCTAACAGAGGGTTCAGAAACAAGAAAAATGATGCACTGGATGTTTGAATTTTCCTGGCTCAGAAATTTTCTACATCCACTCTAATCACCATATTTATCCCCATTTGATTTTTGTCTATTTCTAAAATTGAAAATTACTCTGAAAAAAAAAAAACAAATATTTGCTGACATCCTGCTATCTAGCAATATATAATAACATTCCTGAAAAGTATTTCAGAAAGTGAATTCCAAAAATGTTACCATAAATGGCACCATCATCTTACAAAGTACATAACTCCCCAAGAGCATAAAAAAAGACAAGAACATAACAAAGGTGTTAACAGCTAATAGTGACCAGTTCAGCAAATGTTCCTTCCACATAGCCATTCCAGGAATAAAATGGTCACACTTTGTAATATGAAGAATGTGTTTGGTTATTAACTTTAAACTAGAATTTTTTTTTTTTCATTTTCATTTGTGTTGCTTGTTATCACAACTAAGTGTGACAGGCGTGCAAGAAAGATTGAGAAGGTCAATGCATGTAACAGTCTGATCTTTGATTTCAGTCAGATGTTCTTGTCTTTCCAGGTATTTTGTAGTCTTTTGACAGTTCCTACTTTTTGTGCTGCACCTGAAATTATTTCTATTCTGGAGCTTTCTTTGCTGATATTTCATCTAAGAAATTAAAACAAATATTGTATCTTGTATCTTGGGGTGATCACAACTCTCCACAATTTCCTATTTCTCTAAGCAATGTTTACCCACTTTCTATCCCTCCCAAACCTTGTTCTGCTTTCCATTTACACAAGATTGTTATGCAGGGTATTCAATCTGCCCATTTTTCCTTCAGTATATCCTGTGAATGTAAAATTTTCTAAGCCTTCTTTCATCATTGTGTGTATCAGAAATGTCATCTGTCTCTTTCTGATTCTAAGCAGAAATATCATTTTTGTTTCCATTTTCTTTAAAAATTCCTCATTACTCACATGCTCCATCCATGGTATACTCAACATTCTTCTACAGAACCATATCTTTTACTTCATCTTCTTTTCATCTATAAAGAAATTGTCCCATATCTACTGCCATGTC